TAGATTCAGAAACATATTTGGTAGTGGCACTATTCATAAACGTCTCTCAGGCGTAATTCAATAAAACATATTAGAATGAAAGAATAAGTTATTCTGAGTAATCAACACATCATATTCCTTGGTGATCCATACGCATGAACTTTATGCATTGGATTCAACAGAACCTTGTCATTCGACGTTTTTCATAATCGGAGAAACCATTTTTTTTCTGTGATCCACTGGGTTGTTGTGGTCGAAGTTTCGCCAAGTACTTCTGTACCCTTAGTAAGATTAGATTAACTTAGAATAGTTTTCGTAATTGTAAATTATGTTTCTATGTCCATTTTGGTGAAAAGTAATTAAATATACTTAAAATTTAAGAAGACGCAAATGATTTAATGATAGAATTTAAACACTTTTTATTTGTATTGAAACGAAAACAATAAAATTAGTACCCTTAGTACGAGTGCGAGCTCACAAAAACTACTTACTTATCATAGTTTTCGTAATTATAAAACTGTTACTAAGGGTATCTACTAGAATATCAATATTAAAAAAAAATACACATAATTATTGATTATAATCACAGTAAAATTTTTGATTACAAATAGGGTTAGTTGTCTCACATTGAACCAGGTAAATTTCAAAGTCTAATGGAGCGCTTGTTTTTCAAATAATTCCTTTAATTTTTTGTGTAGAGTTAGTGAATTTATTGAACTACACTTACACAAATATAAACTTTTAAAATGCCGTTTGGTTTTAATTAAATATGAAATGTATAAAATTTATAGGAAATATGCCGGTGGCGGCGTTTTGTGGTTGTGGCCGGTGGTCCGTGTGCTCTTACAAGTTTCAAATACACAGTCAGGTCATAAGTATTGTCACGCAGTAAAAACTTTTCTTTTAGAATTCTAAGTTACAAAAAAGTTTATTGAATTCGAATTTCGAATTGTTCATGAAAATAAAAATGTATACTTTTTAGAATTTTACTCATATTTTTACCCGACTGCGCAATGCAAGAGCGCGAAGCGCGACGCGCAGACAGGGTATAGTGTTTAACAGTCTATATAATATGTATGTTTGTTCCTTTGTGGCACACTAGAGACCAAACGCCTGGACCGATTTTGATGATTCATACATAAATCCATTCATAATTCAAAAGTAATCAAAATTCAATGTGGACAAAATTAGGCGCCCATATTGTGACGAAGTAATTTTCATTCTATATGATTGTTTAGGATCTACAACGCTTTAAAGTTGTATATTAACCACTTGCGCTTTTAATTTCAATCTTACGTTTGTATGGATCTTAGTTACTCTTTCACCTAAAAAATACTGAATGAATTTTAATGAAACTTAACAGTAATATAGCTCTTATATGATAATCTTACATAATAATTTATGAAGTTATTAAGTGAATTGGCCAAAATATAACAATAAGTGTCACATAAGACGGAAAAATATCTTCCATCTGCGAGCCATTTTGGCCTGTACTGCAAAAACAATAAAACTACATGAATTTAATGCAGAGTGAAAATGCATCTCTTAAATAGTTCTAAAAAAAAGTCCGTGACACCATTTATCTATATTTAATGTGTAAGCCATTACCGCTAAAATAGTGAATCAAAACTAAAATATTATTTGATATCTATTTCCAAAATGCACATTTTGTATTAACAAATTATTTATTATCAAAACAAATACTTTTATCGCTTTTGATATTTAAAGACGATAAACTTTGCCTTTTACACTATGTCATTTCGACAAATATTTAAAAAGTTACAACGATGACAAAGTGATAGCGCGGTGTACTATGTAGGAGTAGACTGCGGTATACTAAGAGAAGAAATTTAATTTAGGGGTTTATAAACATGGATAAAACCTAGGCGAAAATCTGATCCTATACGAAGTACTTACAATAAAACTGTGATACAGTTCCGTCTTATTAAATGATGAAAAATAAATTATCATAATAGGTATTCATGATTATTGAATTTTAATGAAAAACTCAGAATTATACTGTTTTTAAATTTTTTAACGAAATTACTTAATGTTACAAAAAAGGTTTACTTAATATAATGACAAATAACCCATTGTTCGCTAGTAGGTACATACTTATTGGAATCCCTGTATTTATTAATTAGCTCGCGATAATATTGGTTTTTTAATTACCTATAAACGATAATTCTGTAAAATTTAAAGTAAATAATGTAGATTTTTATAGGTATATCACCCCTTTCATCAGTCTACGCCTATAAGTATTGCGATGTTGTAGCTAAGAACCAAGTTCCCATCTACTTCTATAGGGGAATTCATTATAATCGATTTAGCTATTAGGGCACGGAAGCGCAACAAACAAACTCACTATCGCATCTATAATATTATATTATACTTACTAGTGATCCACCCGGGCATTGTACGGGCGTTTATTTTATCGGGATAAAATATAGCCTATGTCACTCGGACAAAATGTATTTAAATAAAGAAAAATGTAATAATAAATAATGTAGCTACCTTATGATGCATTAATATTTGAAACCGGTTCAGTAGTTTGACAGATTATTTGTTACAATTTCATTGATGAAAAAGATTTCAAAATAAAGTAAGTAATAGGTTTATTTGATTATATTTGTAAAAGTTACTTAGCATTTGTGCTTAACAGTGATATGATATTCGATATTTTTTTAAACAAAAAAAAATTTGGAAAATAATTGCCATGATTGCACTATTTGCAATACCTACTAGGCTGGTAGCAGCACACTTGATAGGTGGAAGTACTCTTCATTCGAGCTTTACACTACCAATAAAAAAGGGTCGATCACCAAGTCTTTGACCTGTTATTGGTGAACGCTATAAAAGAAAACTACAAAGAGAACTATAAATTGATAATAAATAAGATTGCTATGGTGCTCTGCCTAACGTTATGAAAAAAATATTATGCACCTTTAGTTTAATCAAATATTATAAACTTTGCTTTGGTGATTGCATAATTATTTAATTAAGCGATCTAAGGCAGTTGCCACCATTGTCCAAAACAACAGACGGAAATTACTGTTTTCTTCAACTTGCGACATAAATTAATTGATATTGTATAGGGTGATTTACAACATTTGAAGTTAACTGCTGGCATCTACATATTGGGGTTCTGTGAATTATGTACTCGTAGATATATCACTAGGATATGACACTGTATTTGTGTATATCACAATCTTAGAGCCGGACGTTGACATGACAATGCAGCCACTGCCAATTTTTAATAGTCGACGAATAAAAGTAAATGAATTTTATATTTACTGCTAAACTACTAAAAAGAACATAAACAAAAGATGACTTTTTGAAAAAGTGCTAATTTTCTATAAAATTTACATACATTAGTTAAATAGGTAACGACTTGATTTAACTTCACACATTTTTGCGAAAATTGAGGCCCGTCGGTAGCCTTGACCCCGCTGGTAAAGTCTCTTTAAGTCTTTATAAATCAATCGTTTAGACCACCGCAAGGTAGGATGGATGTCCCGGTCTCAAACCAATTAAAGGAAATTATTAACTTTAAAATGTTGCTATATAGCCTAACAGCGATATTTTTATTTATTTAATCTTTAATGCCTTTACATTGCATACTTACGGCGGACTTAATGCCAGCATGGCATTCTCTACCAGTCAACCGGAAAGAACGTGCAGAGTCAATAAAACGGCAGACAATCATAGGAAAGAGCAAACATCAAACAATGAAAAACAAAATTAAATAGCGTTTAATACATACACATATACATACATAGAAACATAAATATACATAAATACACACACACATATATACATAATATATCTATAATATAATGTCCGATTTTAGCATCCCGATTCAACTTAAGCACTATGCAACAAATTCAAATAATGTTCCCGCACCGAACTCTTAAACACCGTCCTGTTTGGAGCGTTTCGAACGTCTAGAGGAAGTGCATTCCAGAGCCGAATGGCAGTAAGGGTGAATGAACTGGAGACAAACCTAGTATGGTGAATCGGTACTTCAAGTATCAAGTTATCATTTGAGCGGAGATTTAATTGATGGGAAGACCCCAGAAACTGATATTTATTGCTAGTTTATTTTTTACATTGTATGTTACCTAGTTATAAGTTGTAATTGGGAAGGAAAATATTTGATTTCTTTTTGTTTATTTTATAATTCAAGATAATCGGTATAAAATTGGGATTTGACCAGCAGGTCGCAGTTGTTGTCAAGATTTGTACCAGAGGTTGACCATTTATAAAAAAGTGAAATAATAACTACATTCACAATTAAAAGCAGACGTATTTTATAATCAACTTTATGGTTTGTTCTTAGGACTAATTGAGATCAATAAGTAAATTAAATTAAGGTCAGTTTCAACAATCACAAAAGTAATTCTTAAATCTAAATGGCACATTTTCAAATCACCATAAAATAACGAATAAACAATCTAAAGTTTTGGTTAAGTACCTAATTCTTTGTTAATATGAAACTTAAATATTTTGGTCAATATTTTTGACAATCCCAGGAAAATACTCCTCTCGTAGTTTACTATCACATATGATCCTATTTCCTCGTCTGATCTATCTTTATAACTGTAATTAAATTGATCAAAGGTAAATTATCCTCATCGGAATCAGAATCAATTCTATTCTGAACTCTCTTTTTTACTCGTTTTGCTTTAGGTTTCTCAACTTTTTTCAACTCTTGTAACTTCTTTTTTTCTTCTCTTGCTAATTACCTATTTTCTTTTCTTCTTCTTCCTTACTTTTTTCAGTCCAGTATTGCATCCACTCTATTGATGTAACTGCATCTGGCAATCGATTTCTATTCAACCTTTTATTACCACTAGTGGTGATTCTGTAGGCCGAACTAAAGAAGACGCAAAAGCAAGGCTAATTGTATGTTTGGTAGTTTGTATTATAGGGTTTCTAGACTTTGAAGATTTAGGTGTCTTTTCTTGGTTTTCTGAAAAATCTGGTGCTACAATCTCATTTTCAAACACGTTAATGAAATATCAACAAATATTACAAACTGTCTCGTCAGTAAGTCCAACTGACGAGAGAGTTTGTAATATTTGCTGATCTATTTGCTCAGATTCTGGAAACTCAAGTTGTAGCAAAGTGGGAGATGTTTCCATGAAATCAGTAGGGTCAATCTGTAAGTAAGGCGTAATAGTGCATTCTTTTTTAGAATTAAAGTCCCGTTCATTATGTATATTTGCTGTTGATTGATGATTTGACAAGTTGCAAGCATTATTATTAATTTTAATTTCTTTTTTGGTGGCATATTGTATCTAAAACAAGAAAACAAAACTCATATTAAGAGAGTTTGGTCAATTATAGGATTTGTATGCAGTACCAATGTCAAATCACTGGTGAACTAATGGAAACGTAAGCAATTTCAGTGTACTAATCGTTGACCAATTGGTCAACCACAGGAGCACCTAATCAAATTATGTACCTTTTGTTAACCAGTAAAATAACTCATAAAATATATCGTTTGCATTTGAAATTCATTGAAAATCATTAAAATAAACATAAAATGATTACAAAAAACAATCATCCGAACAAGTTCATTAAAAAACAATACAAAATAAATTAAAAGTGTTCTTACCATTCTAAACACTGTCCTTACTACAATGGCGGCTGAATGGCAACTGTTCGCGACAAGTCAAAACAAAATGACATTGTAGCTTTCACTGGTTGTCTCTTTCTAGTCGTAATGTGATTGGTTGATTTGTATTAGTACCAATAAGATGTAGCCAACATGAAATGAAACGCTTAATCGCGGGAAAGCCTAATATTAACACTCAAAGCCGCAAGTGGTCAACAACCGGTGCGTGGTCAACTATAGGGTCTACCATCCTACTTTATAATTCCCGCGATATTAGTTCCCTTACTGAAGTAACAAGACTACGGTATATACCGTCTTATAACACTAACTAACTAAAAAGTGTGGAATTAAAAAGGTAAAGGACATCGACGAAATCGGCCCTAGCATGCCCAAAAGAATGTCCTTCACTATTATTTCTCTATTATTTTTTTAACTTATTAGCAATTAATCATAGTAAACGGACAATCTGTTTAAAAAAATATAAAATAAAAGTTCTGTTACTAGATACTACAGTCTGTTCATCCAACTTAGCACTCCTTTTTATTGAAAATACAGCATTAAAAATCAACTGATAACTGGATTCAATAGGTTCAGTCTATAATAACGATTTATTTTAATAGTTTATTGGCATCGTTAATATTTTATTATTAAATGGGTGATTCTGTTAAAAAGTTGTGCCAAGATTGTTTACCTTAATAAATGCAATATAGGCGACCATAGGTATTTATCAACATAAAAATAGAACTAGGTACCTTAGTTGATAATACTTATTACGAGTATTTATATTATATTTATAAAAAGATTATTTCTGAAATTATGTAAAGATACTTTATACTCCCATCCCATCTGTTTATTTTTATGAAAATCATAATGATAACCAGGTACATACCTAATTACCGATAGTAAAATATAGAAATAGGTAAATGGAAATACTTTGAATATTTCATTTGAAAAGAAATCTATTATTACTATAGGTAGGTAAAGGTATCATAGGTGCCAACTGACAACACTCTTAAATCAATATGAATATAAGCATTTATTATTTTTATTATTAATTGCATTTTATGTTCATTTAATGCATATTATTTAAGTGCTTACATAGAGGTAAACACTAAATCTATTCAGAATATATTAAGTGTACATCTTCTACGATTAAGTATAATATTTATAACCTCAAAATCTAATACATTCTGTAGTAGGCCACAGTTCCTCAAGTTGTCCGTATCTCAACAAATGCCTAATTAGAGTTAATGAATGATTCCGAACACAACTAGCATTTTCTCATTGCTGGGCGTTCTAGGGCATTCAATGTATGGGGAACGAGCAATGTCCTTTAAAAAATTAAAAAACCTGACTGCTTAATTATACTTCAAATAAAAACTGAAAAGAAAAAAACAAGTCCAGTAGTCTATAATTCTGTTAATAAGGAACGAAGCTACTTTAACAGTCGGGACCCATTATTGAAAAATATTATGTACCTATTCTTGAATATCTAATGGTTCCTGACTGTTATAATAGCTTTATTCCTTATTAACAGAATTATAGACTACTGTACTTGTTTTTTTTTTCAGTTTTTATTTGAAGTATAATTAAGCAGCCGGGTTTTTGATTTTTTAAATTTACCTTTTTTTTACATATTTTATAGGTTTAATTTACAAAGTGTGGGTGGGTTGTGTTCGTAGAAAATATGAATATAAATTATGTTGGTCAGATTTAGCTACATATTACTATCGTGTCGGAGAGTAATTGCGTGCGGTACTGTAGGTAGGATTGTAAAAAAATGTCTGGAGCCCGGGGCACGGGATTCGAGAATAAAAGAGTCGGGAATACCCATTTTATGAACGAACGTATAAAAACTTGAATTGTGATTTCTTAAGTTCATGTTCGAAACAGCGAATAAGATATAGTTGCGTCACCCTCAGATTACAGAACTAGATGAACGCACGGAACACGGATTGCGTGCCACCAAAGCAAATACCAAGTCAAAAGCGAATATCAACTCGCATTAGTAATTTAATACGCTTCAAGACTACAACGCGTCGTGTTGTGAATACATCCCGTGAGTTATTAATTATAAGGACTTGGTAATTCTTATAGTGTAAGAAACTATTGAATTCGTTCATCTACTGGGTACCGTTCATTAACTGGGCTTACGACCCTAGATAATATCTATACCAGCGGATTTGGCCGTCTGGTGGGATGGACCGTTTATGCTATACATAACTTGTGGGAACAATATGATTAAAAAGAAACTTCTACACAAAAGTATCGACGTTCAAAGAAGGTGAAATGTAATAAATTCCGAATTATAAATACTAAAAGATTAAAATAATTTAAGTCTGAAAAGAAATAATATTTTGAAGATACATTATATCTCATTTTTTAAATAAAAGCGTGTTTAATTTTGTCGGCTCCGTAGTCCGTAATATAAAAAACAACAAGGTTAGGTTTGTGTTGTTTATGACCAGAAAGAAAAAGTTTGATGGAAAGAGGATTGTTTGCTATTGACTTTCGAGTCTCTAAGCTTTGAGTATCTACCTATAGTCCTAACCTTAAAGTTTTAACCATGAATATCTCGGAAACTATAGGTACATTCCCGCGGGATAGGAGTGGTAGGGGATAATCCCCTACCCACTCCCTCGTTACTGCCCCTTAAATCGACGGATTTTATTCTATATTTTTACCCACGAACAAGCTCAGTTAATAAAATTTAGGCACAAATCCGATGACCGGGATTTGCCAAGTTGTTTAACTTACAGGATCGCAGGCCAAAATAAACATACGTATCAGTCACCTCGATGATATTTCATAGGTATGTGAGTGTGCCCAACGATAATATCGTTGTGTGTGCCATGCAATCTTTGAGTATCCTATGCAATGCAGAACTTTGATAGGTTTAATTAAACTAATGTCTTTGGTGCCATGCCATCCATCCAACTTCTGATTGAAATATTATATATTACAAAATTAAGAACTTGATTTTGAACAATCACTTACATTTCTCTCCAATCCAAACACCGACTAAAACAAAAACATCGTGTATTAAAAAAAAGAATGACAGGGCTGCGTTCATTCTAAATCTACGTTCCGAGTTTAGAAGCTTAGGCCGTATACAGAAAGAAAGCCGAAAGCCGATCGGCGCTTATCGGCGCCGATCCTTCCTACATAAAGGAAGCCGATTAAAGCAGATCAAGCAAAATATCGGACTCATCGGACGATGATTTGGTTTTGTTAGAAAATATTTATTTAAAAATGCGAAAAACAGCTATACATCCTATAAATAGAGAAAGGAAACGTTTCGGAGAATACCATCATTTATTTGTAAAAAAAATTAAATTTGATGAACAAAGATTTTACACATATACAAGAATGATTCAAGAAACATTTTATTACATTTTGGATTTAGTGAAAAACCGTTTGATGAAAAATTGGGGCAATTGGCATAAACAACCAATCCTTCCAGAGGAAAGACTTGTTGTCACCATTCGGTAAGTACGAAACAAATAATTTTAGCGTTTAGTTAATAAAAGATAAAGTTATTAGATTTATAAAAAGATTATAACTTAGATTGATTTAATCTAAGGATAATAATTCAAATACAAATTATTTATTATTCGGACCAGCGCGTGTCGGCGCTTATCGGCGCTCTTTTCGGCTTTCTTTCTGTATACGGCCTTAGAGCATAAGGTAAACGCAGTACTACTTATACTTACCTATCCGTGCGTCGTGTTCAGTTTTATCGGGCTCTGTAGGCCTATTTGCCAAATGCTTTTATCAGATGGAAGTGATAATCACCAAGCTATGTAGTGATCCACTACTGCTTATCTATAACGCCACTAAAATTATGGTAATAAAATACGCAATTTTCTCTTTAGTTACACTGTAAATGTCAAAAAAGCTATCGATTAGGCCGGGAGATGTGTTAAGTAGCGTTCCTTAGAGCATATGCTGTAAGTAGCGTTCACATCTATCTTGATGCCTTCTGATCTGAGGTAGCGTTACCAGAACGTTAAGGCAGAACTTTCTGTGATGTGACCCTGTTGTGACGGGCTCTGATGTGATGCGTAGCGTTCACATTTATTAGATGCCGTAGACGTAGTTTTGCCAGAACATTCCTTCTGTTACATTTTGCGTTACTTTTAGACCTGTAGCGTTACCGAACTCTAACGTTAAACAGACCCAACTACGAAAAGGCCTGCACAGGCTTTTAATCCGATTCTAAATACATCCCTACTAATATTATAAATGTAAAAGTACCTCTGTTGCGCTTACGACTGTGTGTCTGTTACGCTTTCACGGCTAAACCAAAAAATAAACAAATACAGCAACCATAGCCGTCGTCGCTTGGTTTGATACGAATTAACATTAGAAACAAAATCATTTACAATAAACATGGATTTCATGTTTTACGGTTGAGGTAAATTGTTAATAAATTTATGAGGTACATTCATCAAGCAAAGCATTACCACTACTTTTTTAAGCTCGAGTGGACCCGCTAGATAGAAACACACGAGTATAAAACAAATTCTTTGTCGCGGAAGGAACTGACACTTCTAATTTAACTCGCTAAGCCACGCTACTTACTCAACGATATTAGAATCTCGTTGTACTTACTACTTCATCATCATCATATCAGCCGTACGACGCCCACTGCTGGACATAGGCCTCCCCCAAGGATCTCCACAACGATCGGTTCTGCGCTGCCCGCATCCAGCGTTTTCCCGCAACCTTCACCAGATCGTCGTCGGTCCACCTTGTAGCGGGTCTTCCCACTGAGCGTCGTCCGGCACGCGGTCGCCATTCGAGAACACATAGCGAGGAGAACTGATGGCCGTTGGGGCGGAAAGGTTCTCGAATGGCGACTTACTACTTACTGCTAAACTTTTCGATCTCTATATTTATTTAATTATTTAAACTATATTGACCAAAATATATAACAATGGTACGAAAGGCGAACTTAATGCTAAAAGCATTCACTCCCAGTCAACCTTTGGACTATACTCGTCTATACTCGCTACTGTACTTACCGGAGTGTAAATCAGCCATAAGTGGGACTGGTTTCCCAGTCAGGTTAAATAGTAGATTTGTCTGAATGAAACATCGTTTAATAATTATTCTGATATTATTTATTTCCCATCACCAGTATTATTAAAATTACGCTTTAAAAATCCGACATTTCTTAAATATCGTACAATAAATGGAGTAGCTGTTAGAGTTATCGCCATCCGAATGGGTGCAAAACATTTATGGACTGCATAAGCTATAACAAATGTTCCAGCATTTGATGCTGCCACTTTGGTCAGGGTACCTTCACCAATCTTAAAATGTTTTAACATCTCCACTAGGTCGACGCCACTGAAATAGTAAAGAATAGAAGATATTAATTATTTTAATAAAGTCAGGTTGTGATTCTAACTAAACCATCACGTCATCACCCTGGATGGTTTAGATTTCCAAATAGACTATATTTCAATTAATTAATATGAATCGAACCATGAGCTGCTGCCCCCCCCCCCCCCCCCCCCCCCCATGTTTGAACGGGGCCTTATGCTGTAACTTTCAAATAAACCGTGCTGGACCGACCAGACGGTGTGTATTTTGCCGGCTGTGTTCGGTTAGGAGCTGAGGTTTTATAGCTGTTATAGATACGTCATACACGCTTCTAGTTTGGCAATACGAAAGTCAGATATTTGCCCGACTTGTATTCAGTCGGGCACGCTCACTTCGGCGGCTACACTTCGCTACAGCGTGTATATATTTTAAGTTTTTCTAGACACAAAAGCCCTATGTGTGTTTTTTGATAGTATTCAAATTACACGGGAACCATTAGAGAAAATAAAAAATTATAATTTTATAAGTAAGTACAGTTTTAAATAAATTAATTTAAAAATATTTACTGTATTCTTATTTTGTCAGTTGCTGACACAGTTGACACGAGATAAAGAGCGAGATGAGACTTTAGTGAAAGGGAGCTTGTGGCGGGGACTTGTGCCATTTTAAAATGGGATAATGTTGGCGTATAACCTGTCTATATAATTCACGTAATTGTTTTGAAGTAGCAAAATCAAACGTTACCTACGTTCTCCCTACGTAAGGTGAAAAAAAAATTTATCATTCAGTGTTTACATCAAAGTATAGAAATCTGTCTGATTGATATTGTGATGTGATTGTGACACGCACATACCTAATGTTTCATGTGGTGTGTTTGTGTAGTGTGTATACTTTACAGTCTACAGCGTTGCCAGACGTACCGATTTTGGCGGGAAGTCCCGAATTATAAATCAAAATTAAATGCGGGACATTTAATTTTGATAGGCAGGACAGGCTCAATCTCGCTTTTCGGGAATAACTCGACCGCGCGTGGAGCGTACTGAGAAAGCGCGGGCAGGTGGCACAGACAAGTGTGGACTGGCCACTTGCATGGCGCGTTCATTACGCGCCAATTACAAAAAAAAATTTTGAGAGTTCTTCATTATAACTCCCAAAAATTTTTTTTGTTTCCTCCCATGCGGGGGAGCAGGTTTGAAATCCTCATGGATACCCTACAGCCGGCTGTAGGGTTATGTCAGACTCTTACTGACTAAAACACACCCGTCGGGGGTGCCTATGGCCATAGGGGCCTTACAGGCTTCATCCGATGCGATCAACCCCTTAGTAAATACTACTGCATAGTGCGCTTAGAGGACAGAAGCACTCTGATGTGCACCCGTATCGGTTTGAGACTGAGCGACTGCAGGTCTCTCAGGATCGGCGGGGCGAGGGCAATCGCGCGTTGCAATGCCAATTTGGCTCCTTGGAGGCCAGAAGGGCCTTGAGGTCGCGCGAGAGTTTATTAGGGGGGTCCGTTAGGACGTTTCTTGGCCTGTAGGGCCTGTTTGGGTGGGTTGGGGGAGGGGCGTACGCGGACGCCGATAAGATGAGGGGGTAAGAGTGCTCTTCGGCAGGTTAAAAAAACGGTTCCGAGCACTCCTTTAGGTGAGTTTGAATGGTGGGTAGTTGGAGGTCCCGGTGTAGGTCCGCGTTTCAGACGTACCACGGGGCTCCGGTGGCTTTGCGACAGAAGCGATTTTGAACAATGTGTAGATTGTTCAAGATCGCCGGGTTCGCGAACTCTCAAACAAAGACTCAACTATTTAACGATAGGGATAGGTAAATCTGATTTAAAATACATATCATATTTTTATTAAAATACATTTTCTATGGATATTTTTACTATGTACCTAACTATTGTCACATAAACGTAATTTGAACTCAAATAACAGGATAAATATTCAAAATCTTTTGATTAGTTTTTTTTTACTATGTCCCGCTTTCGACGAAAGAATCCCGCTCATTTCACTCAAAAAATTCCTGGCATCCCAGACTGGTCAAAAAAAATGTGGCAACGCTGAGTGTGTATGATAATAGAGTCGCGGACGACCCGACCAAAAAAAATCTGGCTTGTCCCCCCCCCCCCCCTAGGCCAGAAGCTGGGTACGCCCATGAAGCTACCAATACATAGGCAAAAATGCATTGATTACATTGGCGACAACTTTGATTAATAAAAAAAATAAAAATATATAAAAAAGAGTGTTAACTTATTTTATGAAAAACCATAAATTCATAGGACTAAAGACCTGATATTAATTAGAATTGAAGATTGAGATGGGGTACCTCCATCTTAACTTAACACAGAGTGGCAGAAAAAATATTGTTATTGTGAAGTGTCAATTCCCGGGCCCATATTTAAACATGAATGCAAAATGAAGTTTTGGTTAAAAAGATATTTAGTTAATATTATTTTTCAAATTACAAATAGGTGCAAATAACAAGACAAATGAGATATTATATAATGCGACAACTAAGAATAGGACCGACTGGGCGCCATATTGTGACGTCATAGCTGTCAATTCAAACCAAATAGGTAGAGTGAGCAAAAAAATTTATTATTTAATAAAACTTATTTACTTAGATAAAGTGAAAAAAAACATCATATTTTTTAATAAAATTTATTTACTTAGTTTGAAAAAAAAAACCAACCGGTTTTATAATATTTATTCATTGAGACTGTGTGAGAAAAACATTAAATCAGATTCTAGCTCTTCAATTCCCCTCATCTCTGCATTAGCACCGGAGTAGTTATGCATAATCATGCACTATTACTACGTCACATACATGCATCCTTTATGTAAACGAAAGTTTTAAATAGAGTTGCTGAATGCAACTTGGTGAAATTTGGTTGATGATTCAGGTTATCAACTATTCAAAGCCAAAGCTCAATAAATGAAAAAAAATATTAACCAATATTAATTATCAATATTTGTTATTAGTGTTTGTTTGTTTACAAATAATGGGTTTTTATTCTAGGATTAGCAGAGTGCTGAAAAAGGGTGCCAATATTTTTTTGTGGACCATACTTTTCAAGCAACATTTGACAGATGGAGGTCAATGGCTTTCCTATTCTTATTTGAATCGCACTATAATAATTACATGAATGAAAACAAGAGCTTTGGTAGTACAAATAAATAGAAAGTTTAAAATTAGTTAAACATACCTAGATATCAGGAGATAACATCCCCCTAAAGACATTAATGAAATAGCCACATGAAATACAATCACTGTGGAACCATAGTCTTTAATAGCTTTCTTCAATTTTTCTTTTGAGCTCATTTGTACATTTTCATTTTTACTCAATGGAGGTTTGCCATCTGTACTCATAGTCCTCCTTCCAATTGTAACAGCTATGCTTTGAAAAAATAATGCAAAACTAATGTTTATTAAACATAACTGTTGAAATTCCACTTTTAAAAATTAAATAAAAATTCTGTAATTAGTTTAGAAAAATAATTATTAGATATTCATATTATCAAAGACTAAGTTACTAACTTTTCTGAGTAAATGATTAACTTCTCATTATTTATACTTTATATTGGGTTTCATGAGTACAATAATAACTTGTTTATACAAGCAATGCATTAGAATTATAATGAAAATATGTTACAATTTACTATCATTAAATAATAGGCAATATATTTTAATATTTCCCAGCACCAGTATATTTTGAAATATAAAATCAATGATTATGAAATTATAAATAAATATATTACATACCCAAATTATGTTGTGTATTTCTATATTCATTTCTGAGTGTCAAATAGTGTGCACTGTGTAGATGGTCTGACAAATATTTGTATCCCTGGCCCCACTGCGACCCTGGCATATTCAAGTGAGTATGATTCCCACTAAAAGGACTTGGAACATTACTTTGCATAGACGAAGACAGACAGACTGCACCACGACAGTCATATTTATTCATATGAGGATCTACTTGCACAGTAATGTCAATCTTATGATAATCTTCGATTTGTTTTTCGTAGTAAGAACTTATAACGGGCCCGGCAAGATCTCTCGCTCTCAGTGGTGAAAATCTAGCCATTTCGGCTGCATTAATATCGACCACATTCGTCGGTAATTTTAGTACAACTTGTGGGTATTTGAATACTTGAGAAACATGTAAAGTTTTGTCCAAAGCCTTGACTTCGCCACCTTAATAAAACGTGAATTGAATTAATTAAACTGGTTAGTGCACAGAAAAAATATAAAAACGAGATAAGATAGTTGAGTGGTCTTACCATAAAATGTATTAGCAACATATTGCCTTGTATAAGAATAAATGTTTGATTTTGAATAAATTTTATACATATTTGTAGTTTAACTTTTTTATTACGCCAGATTGTAAAACAAATAGAGAAATTATTTACATTTTTTCCCCCCTTTTCCCTTGGGAAGGCAAAGGGTACTGTGCCCATACAGCCAATTCTTAAGTTTTATATTTCAGAATAATACATGCTGTATTTATTATATATGCAGTAATAGAAGCTGTATTTCTTCTTTCTTGTAGCCGAAGCTAAGTCTTATTTTAGGTATCTTGTCTTCAAAGTACTTCTACTTCTTTCTTAGCGTTTTTTTTTAATAATGTCTTCTTTTGTGTTTTTTCAGTAAGGCCGAAGCCAAGTCGTTTGTGTATCAAGATAAGTCAGATTGTCAGAATTGAAAAGTGAAGGCGCGGTTTTTAAATTTTTAATTATTTAAATAAGAAAAAAGCCCTTTTGATTTAATTACTGCTGCTCAAATGGGCAAATCAAGTGGCGGAAGAGGATCTCCTATGGAGACCGCTCAATCTGAGGCTTTAAAGCGTAAAGGTGCTAAAATATAGATGATGATGACACTGTGCCTCAGGCCAAGCAACCAACTAAAGTGGCAACTAGAAGCGGTTTGTTCAAGAGCTTTAGTATGCTATACAAAGATGAAAATAACATTAATTACCCATTACTTGTCAGCAAGACAGACAAATCTCCATTTAATTTACTGCAAGTAAACAGTATCTTGAAAAATTTACCTGGCGTTCTTTATGTCAAGCAACTGGGAGTATCCTTCTTGAAATTTTCTTTAAAAGTATGAAAGACGCTAATTCATTTCTGCTCAACAATGAACTACTTACTACTAACAACTGGTCAGCTAAAATTCCTTTTGATAATGTAGAGAGCCAAGGTCTAATAAGGGCTTCAATAGAACTCACTGATACAGATCTTTTAGAGAATTTATCTGCTTCTCATGAAATTATCGGAGTAAAGAGATTTATCAAGAAGAAAGAAGACGGTTCCATTATTCCTCTTCAATTAGTTTTAGTTACTTTTCACACCACACATCGTCCAGACCATGTCAAATATGACCACTTATGGTTCTATGTTCAAGAATATATAAAACCAATACCACAATGTTTCACCTGTTACAAGTTTGGACACAACAGGGGATCATGTAAGAGCAAACAAGTCTGTTCCATTTGCAGTGGAAATCATTTTTTCACTGAATGTACAAACAAAGAATCTATTAAATGTAGCAACTGCAATGGCCCTCATATAGCTGTTTCTAGATTGTGTCCTGTAAAGGTATCGAAGATAGAAGAAATAAAGCACAAAATATCTCGAAAAACATTTGCTTCTGTGGTATCAAGACAACCTCCCAAAATTACAGCTCCAGTTTCCTCACATACCAGTCCTACTCCTTTCGCATCAAGTCAGTATACTCCTTTGAATAAAACACCCCAAGGACGAGCTTTAGTAACTGATATATTAAATTCAGACACTGTTTTAAATGTAATCACTAAAACTGTTATAGACATATTGAAAAAATCACTAACACAGACGGGTAGTTGTGACCTTAGTAATAATTCAACAATTTCATCTAAATCAATTAAAGATCTCCTCATAAATAACTTTGCTTCATAATATGGATAGTAGAGTTCTTTATGGGCAGATTAACATAATGCACTGGAACTCCCGTAGTATTTTACCTAAATTGGACCAACTTAAGCATTATCTTAGTAATTGTAGTAAACACATAGATATAATTCTTCTAAATGAGCCTTGGTTAACTTGCTGCAAAACATTAAAAATTCCTGGTTTTACTATAATCCGTAGAGATTCAGATCACCCTCACGGGGGTGTAGCTGTAGCAATTAGAAATAGGTACAAATTCAATGTTATTAACACATACTCTTGTTATGATTTTCAAAATATTTTAATTCATATTGAGTCTGGTTCCTTTAAAATGCATATTTTGTCTGTTTATAGTCCACCTCCACCTAATGGGAAAATGCAAATCAAGCACTTATCAGATGTTTAACATAACATTAATTCTCAAAACTTTCTAATAATAGGTGACTTCAATGGTCACCACTCATCCTGGGGCTGTAGGAACAACGACCGGAGAGGTAATTTTATCCACTCATTTGCTGAAACGTGCAATTTAGTATTAGTACGAGAGCCCACGACCAAAATTTTTGTCTCATAGCAATACGGCCAAAACCGCATCAAATCGATAGATACGATTATCTTGAACTCGAAAATACCAATATCAGACATTTTCCGCGTAGCGTTTGATCTGACCGAATTTTCAAAATTGTCAAAGAATTTTACCGAACTGCATCATAGCAATATGTCTGATTTGCAGACTGTAGTTGAATGCTGAGACTGAGATACCTAAAACATATTTTTCAGACGTTAGTGGTGTAGCGCAAACCCGTAAAATCACTTAAAAAAATTAAAAATGAGACAAAAAAAAAATCATAGCAATACGTCTGAAAATCTTTTTTATTAGTAAATTTTGGTTATTTGATGCGAACAAAACAATTTTCAGACGGAAATGTGAACGCATTAAATTTTGAGACCGTTTTGAAAATGTTAACAAATTTTACCGATCCGATCGGTATCATAGCAACATGTCTGAAAATTGTTGGACATGATAAAATAAGTTGTCCACATGTGCAAAAAATTTATATCAGACAAATTAAGTGTAGCACCTTCTCTATCAGACAACTTTTCGATACTCAGATATCATTTAAAAATCGTATTGAGGCATCTTGAATTTTCTGTTACAAACCAATGAATACGTTGCGACCCTGAATTTATTAGATGATAATTAACAAAGAATTTACCCGAAACCGTAACATTGAAGTTGAAGGACTGAAATAAATCGCACAAAAGGAAACTGGGATGAAGTTGAAAAAAAAAACGGTTTATTCAAAGTTACAAAATATTCTCGTATTCAATCGCTGTCGGATTCGGAATCGTCGTCTTCGAAATCACTCTCGACGTCGCTCGGGAGATCTTCAACGTCCTCTTCTGTAAAATAAACATCGTTAGTGAAAATCACGAACTTATTTATGAAATTAACAGCAAAAGCCATGTAAACTGTACCTGTTGTGGATGATGATTTGTCGTCCAAAATAACGTTGCTCAACTCAGGTAGTTGGTTGCCAGAGAACCACGAAAACTGAAATCGTAACACACACTACAGAGTAACACACTTGAGTAACTTTAGTATATAATGTACTCTATGAGTAACTTTTACAAAAGAAATAAGTAATGAAATCTGTCATCTGTCAAAGTACATATAATAGACAAGGGAGATTCTTGAATATCTATGAAGGCTGTAAATTTAAAAAAACATTTAACAGAGGCGTCGGCCAAACGACTCCGAAACGTTATTTTCGTTTTTGGGAGTATATGCTACACTTAAAGTGTCTGAAAACAGGTTTTTGGTAATCATGGCAGCAATACGAAAAGTTGAGAAAAAAAATTATCCGTATTATTATGATACAGGTCGGCTAAATTTGTTGACATTTTCAAAAATGCGCTCAGGCTATATGCTACGCGCAAAATGTCTGAAAACAAACTTTTTCGTAATACATTTATAAAATCTATGTACATTTTCACTATCAGACGTATTGCTATAATACCGACTGTCTTTTTTTTTTGACACAGCAGAAATGGCCTCCCACGCAGTTGCTACACTTTCGACCGTTACTACACACCTAGTCGGGTTCAGAATCATACAATCTAACGATTTTATAGGGTTTTTGCCGTATTGCTATGAGACATGGTTTTGGTTGTGGGCTCTCGTACTATATGTTTGAATGATCACGAGATAACGACTCTTCCTCCTCATGGGCAGACAGGTAATATTTTAGATTTGGTTTTTGCATCTCCCTCGTTAAGCTCCAGCTGTAAATTCTCCGTTTCCGATGACCCCTTCAGTAGTGATCATTATCCAGTACTAGTAGAAGTAATTTTAGGGGATTCTCGTCCACTTCATAAGCGAACATTGGATACTTCTAATCCAAGTCGTCCTTATTCTCTCGCGGATATTAATTATAAGAAAGTCGACTGGTCTGAATTCTCTAAGAAAAGTGAAGCAATGTTTTTGGAATTTAAAATGACCGAAGACCCTGTTTTAGATTATTCTAATTTCGTAAGTAATGTAAGTGAAGTTTTGTTTACATTTCCGATGAAATACTCCCGGTGTGACAAGTTTTCAAACCGTAAAGCTACCATTTGGTGGAATGATTCTTGTAGTGAAGCTGTTATAAAGGCTAAAATCGCTCTCTTTTCATATAAAAAATATCCTAGTTTGGAAAACTATATAATTTATAAGCAGTTTGATACTAAAAAGAAAAGAATTATAGCTGAACAGAAACAATTATCATGGTACACACTTTGTACTTCATTTAATCGTATGACTTCTTCTAAAATAATTTGGGATCATATTCGTAGATTTAAATTTTCTAAAATTGGACATTCAAATAATTTACAGTTTTTTGATAACATCGTGAATGTTAACGATTTTTTAGAGAAAATAGTCTCGTCGAGTGATGTCACTGATGATGATAATTCAGAGTTAGATTCTTTATTTTCTGGTCAGGGCTTACAATCGGCACACTGGCTTAAAAATCCTTTTCTTTTTAATGAATTAGACGCATCCTTGATCAATAAGCGCAATACATCTCCTGGACCAGTTTTTATTCCTTATTTAGTGATCCAAAAATTACCGAGTAAAGTTAAGCTAGTTTTACTATCCATTTACAATTCACTCTGGGTTTCTGGTCTTATCCCTCCTTCGTGGAAGGATCAGCATACTATACCAATACTAAAACCTTATAAAGACTCTGATAGTACTGACTCATATAGACCAATCTCATTGATATCTTGTTTTTCTAAAATCTTTAAAAACAATGCTTAAAAATAGACTAGAGTGGTTTGTGGAACATAACTGTCTCATTCCTGAAAACCAGTATGGTTTTCGAAAAGAAAGAAGTACCATAGATAGTTTAGGCTGCTTGATTGGCGACATTGCAAATGGTTTTAAAAACAATAAGGTGACTTTCGCAGTATTTTTAGATATTAAAGGTGCGTTTGACAATATTGACCAACTA